TATTACAACGGAACAACGGGGGGAGGGGGGGAGGAGTGACGAGACCACGAGTGGGCGGAAGAGCTTAAGTGCCACCAGACAATCTCAAAGAACCGCCTTCGAATCCGCGACCAAACTACATCGTTGAGCCTAATTAATGTAATCACTGACCTCATGAAGTGTACCCATGGCGATCCAGGCTATTTACTTGTTGAAAGGGTACGATTAAAAATTCAATTCTCCGCTGAGATAATGGCTTACGAACCTCGAGCCTCATTACTCGCTTTATGCAGGGAAATTACTCGATGCCTGAGCCTCGGATTAGCGCGACCGCTTTGGAATCGGCGGCGAACATTCATCCGGGGATAGGCTGACTTTATCTCCGCCGCACGAAAAATGGAACGAACCCTCTGTTGATAATTACTTAAGACGTTGCAAACGTTGGCGCCCCTTGCGTCTTTAGTTCGTTCGCGAAGAAAATCGACTTTGTTGGAAGACGTTTCTTTCAACTGCTGAGTGTTGGGCATGTTTTAATCGAATAACGAACACGATTTTATTCGCAGAATTTATTCGAACTACTATTCGAATCGAGTTTTACTCGATATATTATTCCAATCAAATTTTATTCGAAAAGTTATACGGATGAATGTATTCGATGGACATATGCGAAATGTTGTTCAAATAGAATTTTATTGAAATAATGTCCAATTCCGATCGACACGATTAAAAAGAAAGATCAACATAAAATTTTAACCGTGTCTCGAGAAAGAGTCCCAATATTATCGGACATTGAATCCAAACGATGGATTTTTAAAAAGGCTGATATATTCCGCTGAAATCGGACATTCGGATTATAGGAAACAGACAATTCTCCCCGCTCAAGAATAGCAGATTGTAGCCAAGCTCTCCGGAGCTAACGTTCGCAATCAGCGTAACACGGTGATCATAGCTGGCGAAACTTTCCCATCCACTTTGTATAACCACACCCGCATTAATGCGGAACAGGCTGTACAATTTGAAGTAACACGCTCAGCGAAGTGTCTCTACGAAGTCTATTTCCAAAAATACGATCATTTAGAATGCCGGCAGACGCAACAAACTACTTTCACCCGAAACTACGAGACCGTGATTCAACGTCTGCCAAGGTATTACTCCAAAATTGTAGGCAACGTTGCCGAGAACGCACTCGTGTTACAGCATCGTTTCCAGCTTCGAATTTCTCCTAATAGCCGTTTTGACGTAAGCCCGTCTAAAGCCGGCGGCGCACACAGGCACGCCTAGTCGTATTTAAAGATACTTTGACGCACGTGGTTCCGTATCTTTTAAATGTCGCCAGTGGGCGGAGGACGCTAAGTGTTCGTCGGACGGAAATGATTTCGGTCGTCCATGTTCCGTGGCTTAACACAGTTCTTCCTTTTCACGTGCGAGTCCCTTTGCCTTCGCGAAGCACACTGTCGTCGCACAATGCGCGGACTGTTCCTCGGATCCTCGAAAAGATAAACGAACCTCTTCGCCCAAAGCATTTATCGTGCTGCCCAGGTGCATCTTGCCGCCAGCAATTCGCTGTCTCGCGATTTCACCGGCAAGAATTATTCGCGCCAGCAACGCGACGATTCCGACGCGAGCATCGTATTCGGGTCTTTTCAATTCGATTAGACTCGTTTCGACAAATTAAAACAAATTATACGAGCTTTATCTTTGTAAGATTATCTTTGTAACAAATATTATTCCGTCTCTTGTCTTGTAAAAGATAAGTTTTTGTGAAATCTTGGTATAATCTGTGAAAATTTGCGACAACAAATACGTAGAAGTTTTTCTAGAAAAGTTTCAAGAAGAATCATTTCTAGTTGATATTGTAATCCGAAGGAAAAATTACGCGGAAAAGATCAAAATCAGAATCAAAATTTTTTGTACTTCAATTTATTACATTTAGATGTCGACATGGAGCTAACTATTGTGTTCTGAGCAAACCGCGGATTTTTCTGTGGAATGAAAACATTGATAGTTTAGACTCATTATTTTACAGCTGACCTGCTGGAGTAGGCTGATTGGCATTCGTGATAGTAGGACACGCGTGAAGATAATACTCATTAGAGCGTCATCAGGAATGAATAATTGGACGCTGTAAAAGCAAGAATAAATAAGCTAATAGCTCGATAACACGCAGAAGATGAACTGTACTGGGAAGGAGATGCAGATATATGCATTTCTCGAGATACTTTTTATCCCAACGTTCGAAATAGTTCTTTATCCTCGTTGAACAACAAGAGATGATACTAGCGTGCACTTGGTTTCAGATTGCAAACAATCGAGCAGGGGAAAAATGGGGCAATTTTCCTGGCTCGACGATACGCGTACCATTTTCTTTGTGCAGAGTATAAACTATTCATGGAATCAGTTTGCAAGCTCCGATATAACAAAAGCTCATTATTTAAAGGATTCGAGGGACGAAGAAAAATAGGGTCATCTTTCCTGGTGTAAGAACGGATCTGCATTCAGCACTCAACACACTTATCTATTTAGGGCAGGGATGAACGATTTAACCAGTCAATAGCAGAGGTTTAATACCACGGGACGTTCTGAAATATGCGATTTAAATCGGCCGCATGCTAGCCTGTGTGTACGAATGGATAAATTGAAATTGAAAATCTCTTGAGAGGAATTTTGTTGTCAATAAATCTAAATGCGAAAGATAACTGATTCGACAGTATTCTCAAAGGCGATTCGGGTCGCGCCCTCTTTAAGTGTAAACGAAACAATATTGCACAGGAAACAGATGATTCATTCGGGGAAGCTTGATCTTGCGTTTGATTTTTTCCCGAATGACGTGATAAATGTAGTAGCTGTACCGTCCTACGCATCATTCTATTTTCACCAGCAGTTTTCTCAGTTTCTTTAAATTTTTCAATCATCCTACATATATATATATGATATTTTCAATTTATATTATAATTCATTTATATACTTAATTAATACAATCAAGTAACCAGCATCTACAAGAATTAATAAAGAACATACCTCTACCGTTTGCATTTGTTCTCTTGACTGCAAATGCGCTCTGCTATGTTTAAAAATAGCTTCATTATTTCCATTTATTTCAAAACAAGTTAGAATGAATTCAACTTGAATTATTGGTTTACCTATAAAATTGCTCTTACTATTGAACAATATATTAAAATGTCCCCTATTATCTATCTTGAATGTTTAAACGACTGTTCTATATATAAAAAAGAAAGATACATAATATCCCAAAATTAAATTCTATTATGTATTCAGAATTATTTCTTGATTCGCAACTGAAACTGCTATTAAAACATTTACTAACAAAACCTCAGTTGTGAGGTTTATCAACAATCATTCACTCATTGGCAGACAACGTATTAATCTCACAGAAAATTCTTAGAACAATATTTCTTAGATTAAAGAGCTAATTTATTTAAAAAGGACGCTCCGATAACCATAGAGTATTAAATTAATAGTCATCGCCCGAAGCACCCTCGAAGTGCTGCTCCAACCCTAGCCTTCTGTATGCGCGCGCAGCCCACGCACTTTTAAATTCAACTTCCCCAAAAATGTTGCTGGTCGTTCATTTCCTTCCTGTAAGAGATATTAGCCGCTATTGGATCGTGGCGCACGATTGATTATAAAGCTCTCGGTGAAATAGTTGTACGTCGAAGCATTGACTTATACGACACAATATTATCGAACGATAAGTCATATTGCAAAGTGGGCGCGTGCGGCTCATGGTGAAAGCTCGCGAACGCAATGCCGCCGAGCGCGTGCCGACGACGCCACGCCGACAGATACACAATTAAAAGAAAGTTCACGGCAAGTTTCGAGCCGGTGAACGAATCCGCGCAGAATTGAATATATCCGAAGTTAATCGCGTTCATAACGGTATATACCTGAACCCGACGGCAACGGTCACTCGTCGAAGCCTCACAAGGTGCCGCTTATTACTCTTTTACTTTCCTCGTTGTTCCCTGCTCTCATTTTCACGCCTCACTGCCGCACTATTCATTGACAACTGTTCAGCGGTCGACGCAACAGAGAACAATGGGTTCTTATGCTCAAAAAATCGCATTGATATCGACCGTGAATTTGGGGAAGCTAAACCAGACTTAAGCTTGAGTCTGTGATGCTGGTAATATGCTTGGTAATATTTATAAATTGAACATCTAGGGAGCAAAATTGTAGACATATCGTGATTCGGGATATACAAGATTATCGAAATTTGTCATCTATACAGACTATTGTTTCGCTCACTTTATCTACAAATATTCGCGGTTATCAGACAATTACGTGGTTTAACGAGATAATCCGCGTTTATTGGATATTATAAAGCTCGTAGTTTTGCGAGTTTAAATATTTTAAGCACAGAGTAAAAAATGTTTGTTGGGATTATTTTGATAAGCGTGAACGATGATTGAAAAGAAGTAGATATATACTGATGCATGCATAAACGGGAATAGAATGCCTACATATATTTTCAAGCGTACATTTGCTTGCTCTAAACGAAGAATATAATTGTTTTTAGTGGAAATGTTTCAAAACAATAACTTTTTGCCATTAGTGAGAGAAATGTAAGACACAATGGCATGATTACTGATTTCTACACCAGAATAAAAACTATGAAATTATTTGACAGATATAGATTCAGTGACAAACACCTTTCACACGCGAATGTTAAGCTTATCGATACTTTCTGTTTACAGTCCCTTTCACTGGTAAGTCTCGCGAGCGGTGATTGAAATACGAATTATGTATTCCGAAAATTTTGGTAAACTCCTATTCGAATCGATTTGAGTGAATCAGGCAATCATCTGCGAAAAGGATTACGCTTTTTAAATTGCTTCGAAATTGGCGACAATGAGTAGCTAAAGGTCAATGGCGTTCGTTTGTTTATTATGGTGGACAGTTCGGTAGGTGTATCTGCCCGACTGTCAAACATCGCGCAGAACTCCCGAGGCATTCTCTATTGCCGGAAAAATTCGAATAATATGATTTTAAAATTCACGTACCTATTTCAAAGCAGGATCCTCGTTGTTCTTCGAGTAATCCGCGTTCGGTGATGTATTTAATATATCGTACAGCACATTTTAACACACGCCGGGACACACTGTGCGCAGCAAGAGTCAACGAAATGCACCACGAGCAGACTGACAGTTACCACGGGTTGTTCATTATTGGAAAATCTGCCTTACAGGCTGCTCTTGCGCAGCCGGCGCGATACTACCGACTTCCTCCCCTCTATCGGCCGACGCCATTTCTACCAACCATCCTTCTCTCCAGCTTTCATGTTGTTCATATACGTATCAAAAAAATACAGTGCCCCGTCCCTGCACAGACAGTTCAATACCCGTAGCCCATGACAAATGTCAGCTGTGAGAAATCAATCATTTGTCAGTTCAACATTTAAATCACTAATTTCGAAAATTTAATAATAAATGTTAGATTGCTAATTTTATACATAGAATTGTTGCAACAAGATTCGTTGACGCTGTTTGCTGTCAAGAACTATACGTAAATATGTATTTTGTATTCTTTCTCTACTATCGCAGAAAAGCTCAAAGTTTTTGGATGAAAATAATATTTCGATAAAAAACTAACATATTAATGGTTGTAACATTATATTTATTACCGTTAAGCTGATCAAAACGCGAATATTATACTCGTCGGTATTTAGAGATTAAGAAATCTGTACTCTAGAATTTTATAAAAACAACGCCGGTAACTGTAATCGAGATATGAAACTTGCGATGCAGTAAACCCGTCTAGAAAGTGAGTAGTCTGTGGAAACAGACAACCTCACGGAGGTTGGCTGAATTTTCGCAAAGTGAATTTCACTGAAATATTAGATATTATTTTCCTTGCCTTACCTTTGGGTGATGAGAGATTCGCGTTATTATTGAGTCGCGTGTCCGAAAGTGAAACGGATTGTAGCACGTTATTTGGTGTAGGTAATTTGCTACACTTTAAAAAAATATACAGCGCTTCACAAAATAAGATATCATGGCGGTACCTACTACCGGTGTAGGTAAGTATTTTATATCTATTTTACAAGCTAAAGATGCAAACGACAAACAGATGTATTGTTTCATAAGAAGTATTGACTATTCTATGTAATACATCGAACGAGTTACACACGAAATTTTGAGGCTGAAACCTAATCTGTGCAATCTTTACGAAATATAAGATATTGTTGTATTTCTTTCATAAGTTATCACGCACAGTATACGTGTCTAAATGTAATCAAAGATTCATCAGTTTCTACAAGATATTTTTACTCTCTCAAACTTTCTCATACGGAAATGGATATAGAATTGAAAGGGGATCATGAAAATACTAATGAGTAGTAGGTTACACCATGCCTAAAGTCACAGATTCATAACCTGTACTTGTACCAGGTTTTTTTTTATTAACAGTAGCCTAAAGACAGTTAAACTTGCATATAGACTATTAAGAGATAACTATGATTATACTGATTTTTAGTTGTGCCTCGAAACTTTCGTTTACTAGAGGAATTAGAACAAGGTCAGAAGGGTGTAGGTGATGGCACAATCAGTTGGGGATTGGAGAACGATGATGACATGACCCTTACACATTGGACTGGGATGATAATTGGACCACCTAGAGTAATTTATTTCAAACATTTAAATTCCATTGAATTTGTGCATAATTATTATCTTTTACATCAGTTATTAATGCATAAATAAAATTAATATTTCTAAAACATATAGCTCTAATTCTAGTAAATTTATTACAGTTGCTTAAATATTATGTATTACTGTTTTAGACACCATATGAAAATAGGATGTATAGTTTGAAAATTGATTGTGGACAAAGATATCCAGATGATGCACCTAATGTAAGGTTTCTAAGCAGGATTAATATGAATTGTATTAACAGTACTACTGGTGCGGTAAGTACCTTTCTTTGTTTTGATCCTCCAATAGTGGAAACATGTATTAAATAGATCAGATTTTATAGGTGGATAATCGCAGTGTACCAGTACTTGCTAAGTGGCAACGAGAATACACAATTAAGACAGTTCTGCAAGAGCTCCGTCGTTTGATGACATTAAAGGAAAATATGAAACTGTCTCAGCCTCCAGAAGGTAGCACCTTTTAGCCTAACCACATGTAAACTCAACACCTCTTCCTTTTTGTGGTAGCATGGGGCGAGATTTAATCAAGGTACCAAATAATATTAAATGGGTACCTAATAAAGACGTATGCTATGAGGTAACATCTGTATAAAAAAAAAGAGGGTGATAATGACTATAAAAAGTTGAATCAGTGTTTCCAATTTACAGAAATATTTACTTACAAAATTTTAAAAAATATTTCTTTTTACATATTATTTTGTAATTTTAGAGCACATTTCATGTACATGTAAAATTGTTACTATACTTTTAATACTGTATTGTAAAGATATGCCCTTGCATTGTATTTAAGAAAATACTGTTTCAGCTTTTCAAGTTAATACAATCTAAAACAAGAGTCATATTTTGAATCTTAAAAACTGGAAACACAGACTATGTAATAAAAGTAATAATCAGTAAGAACAACTTATGCCTTCAAAGTTTTTTAAAATGAAAGAAAGAAGAAT